GTCGACGATTTCGGGAACACGGATGAAGCACTTTGAATAATTTAAAAAAGCATTCGATCCGTATTGATAGGGAGAGGACTGCTGATTTGTTTTTGGAGAAGGCAGCGGCTAGCCGTTCCAGAGATACGGGGCAAAAAGTGCCAAAAACGGTAACTCAGTTTTAATAGAACGGAGCGTCCGATTTGAATAATTCAAAAAACATTTTACTTGTATTGACTAAATAAAAACTGTTCAAATTTTTGGAAAAGGCAGGGTCCAACGACTTTGGAGATATGGGGGAACAAAAAGTAAAAAAATGAGCCATTTGGCGGTCAAAAATAAACATTAGACATATGCACATCAAATTATCAGATATTTATAGAGATTTTAACAATAGTATAAATTTTGTTTACATTCCTATGGGTTCCGTACCAATGTTTATCCATTAGACGGCGACGCGGCGCTTACGCGCTTTATATTTGGTCTCCATATGCAGTTAAAGCCCGTACGATTGATTGAAAAAAAGTTCAGATCTTTCAAAATATGTCAAAATAAAGAAAACATGTTTTTTTCAAAAAATAAAAATAAAAAAAAAATTTTTAAAAAGAAATTTTTTTTCAAAAAAAGTAATTTTTTGTCCAATTATAGTATATCTCAAAAATCTTATTTTTTTCGAAGTAAAATTTTTTCAAGAATGTAATCGTTTTAAAAAAATAATAATATTTGGTACGGGAAGTACCAGCAATTTGCCTTAAGCACGATGCCTTAATGCCTTAAGACAGAATTCCACTTACAGCTAGTTTTTATTTGTAAAAAACAGCCCCTGTGCTATTGTGCACAAAGACATTAGCCAATTCCTTTCGCAAACTTGGCCACATCATGTAAAATCATGTCGGTCATTATAATTGGACATATTTTTTTGCAAAAAATGGGTTATTATAAGCGACATGTCAATGTAAGTGAGGTCAATATATCCGACTAGACAGCTGTTTTTTAAGGAATTTTATATGGAAACCAAATTCCTAGTGCGATTACGTCATATTAAGCGGTTGTTAATATATTAGGTTGTCAAATATCTCCCTTCCGCCTTTTTGTATTAT